ATTGTATATACAAGTTTATGAAATCATTATAATGGCAATACAACAACAAGTATATACGTTTCCATGTTTTTATAGTTGAAAATATTACCGCATATATAATCACAATATATCTGTGTATTATATGTGTAATTATACTGATGCTATACTTTATAAAATAAGTTTAATTTGCAAATGTTTATTATAAGTAATTGTACCAAAAAAGTAATTTTGTTCGTACACATTTTATATTGGTGCTTCATTATACAAAATATTATTAATTATTAAAAACACTTCTTTTTAAGTTAAATAAACGTAAAACTAGGATCTATATATTATATGAAAATAAAAAATTATTTACAATTAATATCAATTATTATTTGTAGATATATATAGAAGAGGACTAATTCTTATATATTTTTATTTTCCTTAGATTTCACTATATAAATATATATACTTATCAAGCATATATTATTTAATATATTCTACATTATATTTTTATAATATAATTCATAAAAAATGAAAGGTGAAGTAAGTAATAAATTCTATTTTTTTATGAATTTTTTTAATAATCTTAATTATTTTTCATAAAATTCTGTTATACATAAACATTATTATATATTTTCCATTGAAAAATATGTTTCCCAAGAATGAAAATATACTTTCAGATTATTTTATCGAGAAATTACTTCGGAATGTTGATATCTATAATTTAGCATTGATAGTTAAATCTTCTTCTAGTCAGAGCTCGGATGTTGTTGAATACGTACGTAATATAAATCCAAATGTTAATGTTGCTTATAATGGATTGTTAAAGGATTGTAAAACTTATAATGATTATAATAAATGCTGTAAGGCTTTGAACTTATACTTAGATTTGTTAACTGAAGGAATTAACCGATCTAGATTAATAGATGCACATAAAAAAGATACAATAGATAATACTCTTGAAAATTACTGGGGAAATAAATATTATGGCAGTGAAAATAATTGTCAAAGAAAAAAAAACATATATACAGAACATGTTAATTGTATATTAGTTCAAATCAGTAATGGTACATATAATGTTGAAAATATGAGTGAGGAATATCGTAAAAATGAATGGGACAAACTTCTTGATAATTCAAAAAAGTGTGTTAAAGGTAAAAACATAACTATTGCTAATTGTGTAATAAATAATCATTTCTTTCTTAAAGAACCATATTAGAATTATTATTTTTTAAATTTAACAGAACGTAACGCTTTAAATATAAAGGATGTATCTGATTATGTTGAAAAACTAGAGACCTTTAAGTATGATGAAAATATTGACACATCAAGTACAGCACATGGTAAGCGATTTCATACGAATTAAATATAAACCACTATTAAATTAAGTATAGGCACATAATACACCTTACATATATCAAGTTAAATACATTTTTGCTATAGGTTTTTTTATTTTGGGAGTCATTTCCATATGTATCTCAATACACAAAGTAATAAAAATTTTATTTGTAAGAATATTAACAACCTATATTATATACTATTATTCATGTCATATCAATGTAAAAAATACTGAATAAATATGTTTAGAATATGTATTATATTATTTCATTAGTTTACTCCAATAAATGCATGGATACACACTAAATTAAGAATGAGCGATTTATTGCCAAAAAATAAAAATAAGAATACATTAAGTCGGAATATAGATAACAACGCATTTAAAATTGCTTACAATTCTTTAAATAGTGATTACATTTAATAATAACATATTAATTATAAGAATAAATATTAAGTACAAAATGTGTGGACATAAAAATTATAATAAAATTGTAGGAATAGGAACAGTTCAAAGAATATATTGATATCGAGGAAATATTGTAAATAATATATATTTAATGAGGAAAGAGTTCTGATCATTTTAATATATATCATAAACTGTATTATCTATAAATAATATAAAATTTGAGGAAAATTTATATATAATTAAAATATTAATATTCACACTACATAAATTACTAGAGTATAATAAAGGAACTACATTGTAAAATGTATATTAATGGAATAAATTTATAAACAGAAATGTACAAATAATTTTAAGTATAATTGAACTAAAAAATAATATATATGTTTTTGTGACAAAATGATTATTTAAATTGCATATTATTTAAATGTCATCTAAATAAATTAGCAATTAAACAAGTGCATTATTATCTATGTAATTTTAATAATTTCTTGCATATTCATTCCTATATACTATATTGTTATGCATATTTTAACTTTTTTTTTTAATACTTGTTAGCTGAAGATAATGTTTTCTTTTTAAATTATACAAAAAATTTTAATATATAATATTATTTTTCTTATCAGCAATAGTATCATAATATATAGTATTACGCACTAATTTTTTAGTAAACATATGATTCAAAAATAAATTAAACCTGCAATTATAAAATTTTTGAGAAAAATCCTATATAATATTTAGCTTTAAAAATTATTTTTTATATTAATATACATATATAATAATTGAAGTGACAATGTCCCAAATATTAAAGCTTGTTTGAAGTGTATGAACCTTAAATAAAACATTAATATTTTTTAATTCTCGTTCTTTAAAAATGATACAGATTATTATTATATCTATATATAATATCACAGTGTTTATATTAATTAAATGTATAATACAATTACATATTGGGGAAAGCAAAAATATATTGAAATTTAGATAGATAGATAAAAAAATTTATCAATACAATATGTGAGTTTTTCTGTATTACACATATTTTTATTAATTATGATTCGTTGTAATTCGTGAAAAATTAATTATTGATTGATATCACATACATTATTATGATCTTTATAGTGTGCAAATATCATAATTTTTTCTTGTTAAAGAATATATTTCACAAAATATATATCGTATAATAATCTTTATGTAATGAATGTGTAATATTTATTATAACCTTGTAACATGAAACTATAAACAGAGTCATATAAAAGTGTAGATAAGGAATCTAAAAAAGTAAATAAATATTTAATCAGTATAATTATCATACTGTGGAATATATTCGCATATTCCTTACATTTGTGCAATGTTAATTCTATAAATATGTTAATGTAACAGTATTAACCATACTTTGCATAGTTTTATATAAAAAATATCATTAATTATCTAAATCAAAATTATTGGTTGTTTTTAAATGAAACATATCAGTGCATACTCTTAATATATTTTCCAATGTTCTAATAGCTATGTTATATATATATACATACGAATTTATACAAAATAAGAAATTATATGAAAATTCGTATAAAAAGTAACTTAATAATGAATCTATGTGAAAATGAAAATGTAATTAATGAGATAAGTATAAATTTAATCATTCCTTAAGAAGTAAATTTTTTAATTTAATTCATCTTAATATCTTATAAATTATATTTTACACAAAACAAAATTATCGTGCCATATGTAAATACCAAAGGTATTATATAGTTCATATATAATATACCTTCCATTAACTGATTTTTTAATAATATACATTATTTCATATATATATTTTAATTCGTAAACTAAAGTACATATATATTTTATTTTTTTTTTTTAAATATATATTACTAAGAATAATATTAATATTGGACACAAATATACTATTAAAATTTATATTCATAACAACTAATTCCTTTAAGATGATAAAAACTTAATGCTTTTTCTCTGGTTTATACATAAGATGAATATATATTTTTAATGTTCAGCTATAGATTTATAATAATATAATTTATTGAGTATCATAATTTATTTTTTATTAAACAATATTGTCATATATACTACAGCTCAAACTGTATGCAATGGAGTAATGCAATACGAATACTTATAATTGTGTAATAATATAAAATAAAAATGCATAGTGTAACAATTTCATTATATTATTCTCAATATAAAATATAAAATAATTTGTTTTTATATTTTTTCTTAATAAATGTAAGTCATTTTAATGAATATTAATGTAAAAATAAAATTATATTTATATATTATAGTAGCATTAGAAAAATGTTTTCATACATTTGTTATAAATTTAATATAAATATATTTTTTGCATTTTATTATTATATAAAATAAATTATCTCATATTTATATATTTAAATATAATGTTTTATTAATATGGAATATTGTGTCTTACATGTAAAAATTATTTTTCAGAAGAGTCTACTTTTATTATTTGCAGAATATATGCATTGTATCAATGGCCCATTGCTCGTGGAGCGAATTAATTTTTTTAAAGGTTTATATTATAATTTGCACATTTTTATCATAATGTACATAAATTATTACATGAAAAAAGGAGATTTTCATATTATACCATGTTTTTCATAGAATATAATATAATTTTTACACTTTTTTGAATTTTTATAACAACATTAAGAGTATGTTACAAAATTGTTATAATATATATAAATAATTAGTATTTCTAAGCATGGATGTTATTATTAAACTTGAAATATATTATAAATATTTTTACTGATTATGAATATAATTTTTTTCTTTTTATGTAGTATTTCTTATTTATTAGTAATGTCGCAATAAAATATTGAATATTTTTTTATAAGTAGCACAAAATTCAATACATATACAAATAAATTAATAATAGTTTAGCATATTATGTATTACTATATCATTATACACTACTATTATAAATAAACATGCTGCAATTTAGATTTATGCTTATAATCCTAAAATACACTAGATTTATAAACGGAAATATTAATTTCGGTTTTTACTAAGATGAGATTTCTCGTTTCATATTATACATATAACACTATAATATTTTATTTCTATGGTACACTTATAAAAATTATTATATAAACATGCTTTTTTAGTTAATGAAAATCATGCTGTTTTGAAAAAATAGACTATTATACAAATTATTACGTAAGTTGTATATGTAACCACCGCATTTATAAACTCAAAATCATGTTTATATTAAAATATAATATATAATGGATTCAATATCTGAGGAAAATTTGGTATATTTTTCTATTACATGAAAGCATTTGCTTGTATAATATTATTTGTATATTAGGTATGTTTCTTCAAAAATCAAGATGTTAATACTTCTGAATACATTCATTAATAGTTATTTAGTTAATTTTTCCTATTATATTTTTAGGATGTTGTTTTAAAGAACTCATATTCATGGGAATTATACGAAAAATTTAACTTGTTTTTGAAAAATGAAGAAACAGTAGGAAAACATTGCAATAATATTACTAATTCTGGACCTCATAGGTTTGGACTAATAGATTTGTGCAATGAAGTTCGAAAATATTTAAATAATAATTATAATAATTTATGTTTGCATTTTATATACTGGTTGTATGATAAAATACATAGATGGAAAAATAGTTCTATAAGGGTTTCAAAAAATTCCTCTAATAAAGAGACATATAAGGCATTACAGATTATTATAGAAGCATTAAAAAAAAATTCACATCCATATTTTTATTATGATGAAAATGAATTAAAGGAATGGAATGAGGAAAAACTTTTGCATGATTATATCATGAATTTTGATAGTGTTGTAATAAATTATTGTTCCAAAGGTAATAATAAAAATAGATTGTTCGAAAATTATATTAACCTCCTAAAAACTATATATCCAGAACATAAAAAGTATTGTTGCCCTTGGATGTCCAATAGATGTTTAAAATATTTTTCATGTGATGAGATGTATAATCCAGATAACTTTTTTTCACAGTTAACATGCAATGGAGATAGTTCGCATGATATAAAGGTTAATAATAAATATGATTGGATTTATAAAGGGGAGCACAAATATTTTAGGTGTAAAGAAATAGAAAAGGATAATGAAACTACATTTAATTCATGTTCTATATTTCCATCTAAGTTAACCGCTAATAATGATATTTCTCAGAGACAAGGCAAGAATAAAATTGGGGGGTATAGAAGTTCTGAAAGAGGAATTAATATATTAATGCAAGTTACAGAACAATCAACACAAAATAAAGAAGTTTGTGAAAGTCACATGGTGAAATATAATTCAGGTAAATGCAGAGAACCGGATGTGCGTGAAACTGGAACTATTGGATTTAAAGCCTTTAATACGGATGCCAAAAAAATGATTAGCTTTTTACTAAGAAAAAACTCTGGTATTGCAATGGATAGTAAATTTACGCACATTGGTGTCTCAGCCCTTTTGATAATAGGAGTCTTTTCAATTTTATTTATTTATTATAAAGTAAGGAGAAGTTTTTTAAAACGTAAAATATATTTTACAGCTAATAACTTATTTACGTAAAAAAAATTGTTATAAAATGAATACATGTGTTCTTTTCTTTCTTTTATCAGTTAACACCCGTTGGGTCTATAATACGTAATAGAATATTTCAGAAAGGAAAGGGAATAAATAATGATAGTGATCACGTTGGCGCCTATGCTATGGGTAATGTTAAATCTGAAGTTCAAAAAAAAACATCGACCCCTGCACCTAAAAGTGCAAATGTAAATAATCAAAGAAGACGAACACACATTGCATATCATCCTTGATAAGTATGTTTTCGTTAAGTTCTCCATGAAAAATCAACTGATTTGTATTAACATGGAAAGCATTAAGCATCCGATTACTTATGTCATAGGATATAATGGGATTGTAAAGAAGAGTGGTGAATTAATATTTTTCATTATATGAAATAAGTTATATTTTTTTATTTAGGATTTTTGTGTTATTTTATTTGTTCAATAATATGTTCAGATAAAAAAGGTTTTTACTGATTGCTCTCTATGATCTGTTTAGTAAAATGAATTAATTAGTTGTTTTTCTGAATATTGATATTAATATAAGTGTACATTATTAACATAACATGAGAAAATTATTAAATGTTCGTAAAATTTATTTCTCGCGTAATGCACATAAAATTATAAGTTACTGTATACATATATCTTCAAAAAATATATCAACTTGTATACAAATATATTCTATTAAATCATATAAAAACTATTTGTCTCTTGCGTAAAAAGCTAATTCCAACTCCCCCCCACTTACACCAACACGTAATATTAGTTTTTTGGTGAAGGTGCAACACTATTAACTGATTCTAAATGAGATAAACGAATACTTAATATAAATAAAGTGTAATTAGATGAATACTTAAACTTTTAGCTAAAGTTATATAAAACCACTTATGCTTTCTGATGATTAGAATTAATTAAATTAATAGCAGTAAAATAATTGAAAAAAATATTTCGCACAATTTTTATAAAACAATGTTGCCTCACATGTAGAAATACATACGAAAATGTAACAAAGTAAAAACGTTCAATGACTGTTATAGTAGAATTATACAAAATGGTGAAGAATTTTGGCAATCAAATCTGTATGTTTCAAAAGTTTTCTTTATTTTATTTTTTTTGTTTTATATTTTTATATATGTCCCAAATAGTACTTTTAATGTTATATAAAAGATATTATTCGGATATCATACACCAAATTTAATATTATGTGTACATTTATTATATTTATTTTATTAACTTAAAACTTTTTAAAGTGCTAATACAATGAGCTGCATACACAAGTTGTTGTTTATATATAAATAACTATTTTTACACATGTAATTGTATTATTATTGCGAAAATAAGAGTAAAGTAAAATAATATTTACATATATTTCCTAAATAATTCCTTAAATAAATGATTCGGTTTATATATTTTACATATTTGAGTGATATTTTTTTTTTATTGGTTACTGTGAAAGAAAAAAAAGAGCACAAAAATATATATGTATGGTAAATATTTCATTAATAAATGTACAATTGTTCCCTGTTTTAACAAGTAGCAAATAATTTCATTTTACTTTATGAAGTTGTCTAATTATGTGGAGTGTTTATAATAATAATTAAAATATACATCTAGGATTACATAATATATCTAATAACCTCAATTTAAATAAAACGTTATATAGCAATGACACAAAAAACAAAAATATGTATTTAGTATTTCTTGCAGTTCTCACAATTTTTTTAAGGAAAAAATTTTTAAAAGCTATTTATATTTATCTAAAACAAATTATAAGAAATTCTTAAGAAAAATTAAAACTTATATAATGATAATGTAGAATTTTTCAACACATTTATTTTTTTTTGTACTTCTATAAATATAAATGTGATTAAAAGGGAGTAATAAATTTAATCTAATAGTTAAATAGCTTATTTCAATATTTTCTAAAATTTTAGTCACATTTCATATTAGAAAATAGAATTTTTTTTACGATTTTAAAACAATAAAGTATGCCCTTTTTTAGTAAAAAAAAATAATGCTATTAATTCTATAATATTAAAATATATTTATGATAATAATCCAAAATATGCATTTTATTAATAGCAAAAGAAATTGAAAAAGGAAAAAAAATTAAATTTTTTTGTGTATTGAAATGAAGATGAATGTGAATAGGACCACCCATTTTTTGATTATAACTCTATTTTAGAAATTATTAAACTGATACAATTCTAAGTAAAAAAAATGTTCTAATAATATATTTTTTTAATATTAAACAATAACATATGTTCGTGAGACCATAATATATAAGCTAATTTTTGTCTTTACCTCCATTAGAATTATTATTCTAACTTGAGTTATTGATGTGTACAGTATGACACATTTCTGTTATAAATAGAAAGATCAATTTAACAAACTTATCGTGCTAAATAATGTTCAGCAACTCAACGATGTTATTATCTCCAAGAGAATATTTTTAAGGAAACAATAATTAATACAATTTTTAAAGAACATTTAAAAAATTTCACAATTTATTATATAAAATTTTCTACGCAAAAATTAAAAACATCTTCTATATTACTTGGCAGAGTATTATAATAAGTAAATATATAAGCATTTGCTATATTGCTTACTCTGTTGTATGTGGTATGATTTATAAGTTACTTTTTCACTAATTTATTGTCATGATTTAAATAATGGCTATCATTTACATATATAATAAAAAAAAAAAATTATTAGAATATGTTTATTACACAATAATAGATCTTATAAATAAAAAATTATATAGTCGTAAAAATAATGTAATGGGTTACGTAAATATATTGATATAACTTTGTGTATTTTAAGCTTATATATGTTAGTATTTGTATTTTGAAAATTTTTTTTTTTTTAATTTAATGTAAATTACGTGAAAAAAATAAAAGAAAATGGCGAAGACAACTGAGGAAGAATTGGTTTAAATGAATATATATGATTATTTATATCGTCTAATTATAAAAGTTGTTTTGTATTTAACAAAAGGAGAATTCTGTGTGTAGGATCAAGTTTATTCCATTTGTTTGTTAAATTTTTTATGAATATTTTCAGGAGGCTGCAAATGTTTTAAAACTTGATAAAATACATGAAGAACTCTATTCACTCAATGAAACATCCAAATTTGATGCTTATTGTGAAAAGCTGAATATAGATAATGAACAGTATAGCAAATCCAAAATCCTTTGCACTAAACTCATGTATGTTTTAGAACAAATAGCTGTAAATGGCAGAAAACCAGAAAATACAAAACGTTGTGGTTATTTACGTTATTGGTTATATGAAGAAATAGGGAAAATATATACTGATCACTCCAAAATGGTTAGTGAAATATCCTTAGCTAAGGACCTTATTGATATAGTAAATAATGTTATTAAAAAAGAATTAAAATACATTTGTACTTCATTTCCAGAGCCTGAGAAAAATGTTACACTAGATGAATGGAAAAAAAGGAAAATTTCGTATATGTATTTTCAAAATTATGATGAAATTAAAAAAATTAGCAATTCAAATGACAATGACAAATGCAGTAAGTATTTGACTTTTGTTAATAATTTTAGTAGATTATATGAAAGGTATAAGAAAGACCACTGTAATAATGGGTCATGGTGGTTATTCAATACTGACACTCATTATTTTTATTGCGCTTCTAAGTTTGACCCAAAGAAGTTGATTTCTGAACTAGAAGCATGTAAATTATATAAACCTCGGGATATAAATGCTTTAGATGCTCAACAACCCCCGAGTGATACAGGACCTATAATTAAGCCAGAAAAAGATCAACAACTGACAAAAAATAGGGTTGTAGAACCTAAAGGAGAAACTAATGCAACCTCAAATGATTCTGTATCCCATGGGGTTACAGTAGGGGTTACAAGAGCTTCACAAGAAGCAGATTCACAAGATATAAGAGCAAAAGTTACAGCACGTCCATTAAATACGGAAGGACGAGAAGATCCTCTAGGTTTTGAAATTTCAAGAGAAACAGAAGCTCATGTTGGTTTGCTAGATAAAAGAGATTCAAAAGTTTCATCGAGTTTACAAGATATATTACATGGAGTAATCCCAAAAGGTATGCAACACCAAGGTGGGCAAAAAGTATCACCTAAATCTGGAATAATAGAAGACAAAATAGACCAAGGGAAATCATGGAAAAACTATCAAAGAATTAATCCAACGCATTATTACTTACCTGGTGTGTCGTCCAATATTTATATTTATTTTAAAAAAATCAGTAAAACATTTTAATCACTACATATACGCCATATGATCATGGGTGCTTCAATTTTGTGTGTGATTGTATTCCTTGTCATTTTCTTTAACGTAATAATTATATCTTAATATAAATGTATTTTGTAATTATTCATGTAACATTAATTTGATCAAATATACAATTATTAATATAATTTATTTCTTGTTTTTATTTCATTTGTATATTAGTCCACCGAGCCAGGAAAGAGTTCAAATAAAAAAGAAAAAAAGAAAGGAGAATTTGAGAATAATTACAATGATGAATATAAAGAAGAATTATCAAGATATATGTCAGAGGAATTTCTTACACATTCTCAAAAGAGCGCGTTATATTTGTCATATTAGCCTAGACATTATTATTTTTACTAATTAAAAAATATTATTTGAAAATATTTAGAATAACCATTTGAGCTAGTAATGCTGTCGAAACTATTTGAATCAATCTTATTATGCGAAATAAGTTCAAAAACAATAATATGCACAGGAATTGTTCGAATTATAACATAATTTCAAAAAAATTAAGTTTTATTGTACACAAGTGAATACTTGAGTATCGAAATGTGATGCATATATGTCTTGTAGAAAAAAACTCTTTAATTATAAAGAATAGAGTTAAAGTAATGTATTATTTCAATGATTATAAAATTGCAGTGTTAAAAACATGGTAATACAGTAAACTAATTAGGTGTATTTGGCTATGTGATATCATAATATTAACACCCCCGAAAAATTATGATGCGAAAGAAGAAAATAAAATAAATCTAAAAAATGGCACAATGAATTTTTAAGGATTCTTGAATAAAAAATTATACTTCATTTATGAACTCTTTTATAAAGATGAATTTCAAGGTTTTTAAGTAATGTAAAAAGAAAAAAAAAATGAAAAAATTATTTTTTTTTTTATACGTAAAACTGAATCATAAATTAATTATATATATTAATGTTTTTTATTTGTCTACTTTTGTAAATATTATTTTTCATTTTGTTTTTTTTCACTCCATATTAACATATTATATTTTGGGGACTCATTATTAGGTGGTTGCTATTCTTCAATAAAAACAGTCTATATATTTATGTAAAATACGTAAAAATTTTCTAACATTTTAGAAATAAGTAAATATCCATGCTAATGCATGCAAACTATAATTTAATTATAATATATTTTTATTCTAAATAAATTTATTATTAGTTATTTTAATGTAATATAATTATAATTAATTTAGCATGCTTAATTATCTTGATTTTTGTTGTATATCATGGATCAAATTGTAAAGCAAACGCTTTACATTCATTTTTAAAATTATAACAGTATGAATAAATGAAAAATGAAATGAAAAACAAAAATTCATTATTTTATTTCATAGTTAAGTTTAAATTATTTTCTCATAACTTATGCAATTTTTAATTTTCTAAAAACCTTTTATCACATTTATCAAAATATATGTGTATATACTTGAAATTTGCTGTTGATTAAGTTTGGTTTCTATTTTTTCCATTAAAATTAATCTTATTTAAAAATTTTGTATTTTTATTAAAAAGAATTATTTTGTGTTTACATATTAATAATTATTTGCAGATAACTCTTATACAGTAGAACAGTAGTCAAATTATTTAAGTGCACAATATAGGTTCACAAGGTTTTCCGTATATAAATTAATAACAAATTAAAAGAAGAATTATTAAGTATATGTTTTTATATGAAATAGAATGTTATTTTATAGATTAACCTAGGAATAAAGAGTTTTGTTAGTTGATATGCTCATATTTTTTATATTATTATATTTGATTATGTCCAGAATTGTTTATTACATTAAAATATGTTATTTAATTGTTGCATGATAAAGTTAAATTTAATTAATAATGCAACTTTTTAAAAGAATTAAAATTAACAAATTATATTACGTATGAGTTTTAGCAAAAAAAAAAAATATTTTTATGATCGTGGAATTAGAATTATTCAATTTGAATCATATATAAAATTTTAGTTTCATCAAAAAGATTTGTTTCTACATGATCATATATGTAATACATTTTACACATAGAAAGAGCTTAATTCATTGTCAATTAAATAAGAAAAAATGTTACAATCATTATTATTTAAAGAAAAAAAAAAAAA